ACCCACAATATTATAATCATTAATTATATAATCTTCAGCATTTAAGTAACCCATTTACCCCATTCCCGTTATTTTTGCTTCCTAATCCTAGAATGATGATCTCAAGAGATCTTTTCTAAAGGATCTTTGACAACAGTCATCTATATATCCCTAAATGATTAAGCACGGCTGTATGATAATACTTTGGACACAACACGACACTATAATAGTACTTTGGATAGGCACGACAGTACAATAGTACTTTGGGTAGGCACGACAGTACAATAGTACTTTGGATTGGCACAACAAGTCGCAACTTATTATTTTGCACAACTCTCACTTAACATATCACCGCCACTAACTCACACAACACTATCACAGCCTCTAATTTATTATTTCGCACAACCCTTTACTACCCAATCATATTATTAAGTATAATATACGATTAGATCAAGTAGCAATCATATCATATTGTACAAATATATTAAACGCATCAAAAACAGCGTGCATAGCATTTAAGCATTTAGAATACTTGTATCTTGGTGTAAATTGAAAGTAACTATGCACTCACTTGATAAAATGAATGCCTTGGAATTTAGGCAGAACCTCGGCTTAGCACTTTAAATTTTCCTTTGACGTGACCTAGTATAATGATTACTAAGTCTTAGTCTAATACTCTTGGTGACTAATGATAGTTTAGATTCCTCAATAATCCCAATCTCTATATCAAGATCTAGCAAGTAAGGAATAACCAGGTAGGATAATATCTGAGGTAGGGTCTGTTTGATATGCACAGTAAACTGTTCTGGAAATCCTACTTTAAACACCTCACTAAATCCAGCCTAGGAATTACTCTTGTAAGTAGATCAATCAGTATAATGACTGCGAATCATTGATAAATCTTATTTATAGGTTCATAATAACGATTATGAACATAAATATAAGTTTACTTACAAAGATTTAAGCAAAAACTGAGAAATTACACAGACAGAATCTCGACCCGAATACTTCTTCTCATCGAGCTCCTAGATCTCAAGTGTTTACATTAAAATATCCTAAAAAACTATTATAAAATCGAACCTAAGAAAACAGAGAGGTTTTGAGAGAGTTTAGGAAGATTTTAGGTGGAAATGAGCTAAAATCAGAAGGGGAATATATATAGGTTGGCAAAGGTTCTCCGCGCACAGACAAGAGCCGTGTCGCGCCCTTTTGTCGTGTTAGCCCCTCCCAGTCGATGTTGCGTGTTCGATCTTCCTTGGCCCACCTCCACTTCTTCTAGAACATGCCACGTGTTAGCTTATTATGGTGCCACTTGTCACAACCTTATGGTGCCAAGTCATCATGTCTACATGCCACATGGCTCCACCAGGTGGTGCCATGTCATCAGCATAGGCGGTTTCTCGCAGATCTTCGGATGGCTATAATTTTCCCATATAAGCTTCGTTTTCTACATTCTTTATATCCATGTAGTCCTCTCAATGATATCTACAACTTTCATTAAGGTCCCATCAGCTAATTCTTGCCCTAACTAAAATTCATATTTAAATCGGTTTAGACTGTTAAAGTTAAAGTTTGTGCGAAATTTATAACTCTTTCATATGAACTCCTTTCTCGACTGTCTTTATTTCGATAGGTTCATATTTACGAGATCTTCCATTCTCGTTTGATTGTTTCGGCCAACAATGAACCAATTTGAATTTCGATTTCCGTGCCCGCACTATTCCGCTGTAACTACGACAAATCATAACTTCCCCTCACGAAGTCATATTTGGACGTTCTCGATATGCACGTTCTCGGTTGTACGACTACTAAGACTTTTGTTTAGATTACTTAGGCTAATAAGCAATCTATCAAAAATCCACTTTTTACGATCGGCAGAGCCGTGTCGATTTAATCGCAAAACTTCAAAGAAGCATAACTTCTTCATAAGAATTCGGATTTTAGAGTTCTTTACATGTAAGGAATCCTTGTGACATATATTCTAACTTTGGGTAAGATTATTTATCTTAATAATCTTCTATGAAAAAGTCATTTTTATAGCTTATTCTTTTTTAATTGACTAACATGAATCTTCAGGCGTTACATTGTAACACTCAATCTATTTATAGATTTAAATGTAACAATTTTAAAACTTCTTATGAGATAGAGTCGTATCTTTAAAACACTTTGATACCGAAAAAAAAGATTTAAAAAACTATATAAACTTGATTATGAAGAATCATCTAAATATCACTTACAAACCCTCTCACCCTTTTTATATATATATATATATATATATATATATATATATATATATATATATATATATATATATATATATATATCTTTTCATTTTATAAACAATTAACTAAAGTATAATTTTAAATGTTTTAAATATATAAAAATAATAAGAGTATCCAAACCAAGAGACATATATATATATATATATATATATATATATATATATATATATATATATATATATATTATCATGTATTACATTAGTTTATTTAAAAAAAAACTCAATATGAAGGTCTAAATATTTTAAAAGATTAATTTTTTAAGAAAAATAAGAAAAATATTGAATTATTAAAATTGATGTATTTTTTCTCTTTTAAATTTCAACAAATAATTTATATAAATAAACAAAGAAAACTAATAAGGCTTTAATTTAGAAAGTTTGAAATTAAAAGGTAAGTCCCTTAATGAAATTGATATCAATTTATTTTTAGATTTATTGTAATTATTGCATTTAATTACTTTTTAGAGTTTAATAGAATAGAAAAAACCATAAAATAACACGTGGAAAAAAAATAATTTAAAATAACTACAAAATGACATGTGGGAAAATGAATAATTATATATGACATGTGACAAAAAAATCTCTATTTATTAAAGTGTATATATATATATATATATATATATATATATATATATATATATATATATATATATATATATATATATATGACATTAATAAAGATTGATAGATTAAATTGTAACAAAAGAAGATATAGTTTTATTATAGGGTTGTGCCATAAGTACCCCGTTTCACTCACATATAATGTCACATCAGGGGGTGCATAAGCACTATGGTTGTCAAAATCGCGATCCTGATCGTAGGATCTTACGATGCTACGATCCTAGGTATGAAAAACGATCCGGATCGTAAACGGGTCGTATTTGAGGTAGGATCGCAGGTAGGATCTTAAGATCGTATGTAGGATCGTAGAATCGGGATCCGATCCGATCCTACCTTTCCTTGATTTTTTTTTTTTTTTTTTTTTTTTTTTGCAAATGAAATCATTTTAGCACTTTATATCTTTTACCCGTTTACCAAGTTACCGTTTATCATTTTATGTTGTGACTTATGACTAATATTTTGAAGTTTTTATAACTTTTGAACAAAAAATTGAATGTTTAAAATATTTTTCATGTATTAAAATTTTGTTTCATTTTGTAGGATCTTAGGATCCCAATCCCGATCTTACAAACCAAAAAATGATCATATGTAGGATTATGATCTTGACAACCTTGATAAGCACTATTACACTCATATTTAGAGGGGTACAGAGGGGGGAGGGGTACATATCGAAATTGCCTTATTATATTTGTGTGCAACCCATAAATAGAAATGATTCATGCTATATGATTTTAATAAACATCTACTTAATTATATATTTTAAAATAATTATAATATCTAATGTCAATTTAATATTAAAAATATTTTTTACTGCGTATATGATTATTTTTAATATCATATATTATAAACTAGAAATTTCCCAATCTCTTTTTTGTGGAGACACAAGTGCGGTCGAAATTGTTTAACTACGAAAGTGAAGGAGCAAACTTGTAAATATACAATACTCATTTGGCCAAAGTGTGAAAACAAAAAATATATATACAGAGACGAAACATAGCAATACATTAATGGGTGGAGGGGAGTAATATACAAATTTTCTATTAGATACGAGTTATTTTAATAATTTTATTCAACACATAGACCATTTTATTAAAAATAAATGCACAATGAGTTTCTTTTATTAATTATGGGATAATTTTTATAATTTGTTTTTTATACAGAGGTAAAAATCTGCCAACATACAAAAATGTCAAATATAAAGATTATTTCTATAAAAAAAAAAAATCTGACCTTTACTCTAAATACCAAAATTATAAGGACTAGTTGTGTCAATATTAAAAATATTTGTGATAAAAATATGAAATGCATAAAGTAAATTACAAAATCATAAGAAATAATAATTGTGCTAATATTAAAAGTATTTGTGGCAAAAATATGAAATGCATAAAATTTACTATTCGTAAGTTTGTTTTTAATTAATATATAGTATAATATTTTAAATTTATAACTATAATATAACTATAAAAGAGTTATATATCAAGTATGGATTAGATTGCCTACAAATACCCATTTGTGATGTCTGTACCTATCCGACCTTGATTTGGCAAAGCACGTGACGGGGACTGTGACCCACATTGCACATGGCAGTCGCTAGGATTGTTCCATTCCCATGATACATCTTTTATAATTTGAATTAATAAGTTTCTTCTTTAAAGATACACAGATGTAGTAAAAAGACAAATCGGATAACGATCTCGTTTGTATATCATATATACTTACATAACTATATGTCTTTTGCATATTCAATGCAAATATATTTAAAAACAAAATATAATATATGCGGCCGAGCAGGTGTCACTTGTCACTTCAACGTATTGGCCCATGAGAAATCGATAAGGAATTTGTGGAATTGGATGTAATTTTAATTTGAAAATTATAAATTTTATAACTCGATTAGGACGAATTTAATTCTATACCAAGGGTAAAGTGTTTTAGATATAACTGAATGAGACTGAGTTCTTTAATATTATGTTCCTTATACATAGGATATCTTACGATAACTAAGATTCAAAAGTTTTACAACCATTTTCAAAGGACAATAAGAATATAATAAGTAACAAATATTCGAGATAAAGAGACGAAAACTTGCTGATATTAGAAAAGATAAGTCACTCGTAAATAAAAACTAATGCAATAATATATTAATTAGGGGGTTACAAGACTTTTAGAATCAATATCAAGTACAAATCGTTGACAAAATTCCACGACATAACGCGTTGCGCAAATTCCTTTAGCTAGGTGGAACCTCTCCACACAAAGCTCGTTAATTACTAGCAATGTTCCTTTTCAAGAGCCAAATTTTAAATAACTTTGGCTTGCAATACGTCAAAAGCTTCTTCTTTTTTCAACTAAATAGACTTAAATTATATGATCTCTATTCAATACCCACAAAAATCACTCATCTTTTCCATAAAAAATAGATGCAACAAAGTAAATACACACTTACATATTCGATGAATTGAGGTTATACATCCAGTTGTATATAAAGGCTTATTTAGCTAGCTAATTGATATATATTGATATCAGTAGCATCTTTTGTGATTCAAGGAATTGTAACAATTGTTAGTGGTAGTGTGATTGTGGTAGGGTTCATGAGGAAAGTGTCCACTTGAATTATCAACATGCCTTTGACTTTGAACCCTTGTGTTGGATGACTTGGATCTTGATTGCTTACTTCTCCTTGGATTTGTTGATGATCGTGGGATAAACACTCCCGTTCCTTTTATTTCTCTTCTACCATTTTGCTCATGAAAACTTGGTATTTGGTTATGGATGGGATGGATTGTTTGAGAGATAACCTACGTACAACACAAAATAGGAAGGTGTGAATAAAAGAAAAGAAACATTAGGGGTCGCCCTAATAATTGGAACTTGACAGTGTTTCTTTCAGTAATCAATCTTTATTTGATGAGAGAGAGAGAGAGAGAGAGAGAGAGAGAGAGAGAGAGAGAGAGAGAGAGAGAGAGAGAGAGAGAGAGAGACCTGGAACGAAACAGGAGGACAGTGAAGAGTAGGGTCTTCATCATCATCCATGATCAGAAGCGAGATCCTCTTACTCAAGTCTGCAAAGAACAAATCATCTTCAACAACTTCCATCTTTCAACTGTCACAACTCAAAACAACTTAATTAAACTGTGTGTATTCTCTTTCTCTTACTTTTTTTTTCCTTTTGGTTACCTGATTTGAATAAATAGGGAAAGGAGATGGTATGGGTACTGAGTAAAGAATGAAAGAATATGTGTTAGGGGTATTCAATTCTCAAAAGGGGCTGGCTGGACATGTGAGGTAGTGGGACCCATGTAGCCAATCTGTCTATTTATGACCCACAAGAGGATCATGAAGTGTGTTTATGATTCTATCCAGTTGTAGGAAAAGAAGATAGATTAGAGCAGCAACAACACTTTCCACCACCCACACCCAGATTTCTCCCACCCTCACAATCATCTCATCCACACCATTAATCTTTCACAAATCAGAATATACTTGGTTGTCAATTGTACTCTCTCTCTCTCTCTCTTTCTCAGTCACTTGCACATATAACACTGCCAAATAGGACATGCTACTACTACAACTATTTGTGCATCACAAGAAGGTACAAAAAACCCATAGGTGTCACACACATGCATGCATGGGTCTTGGGTGGGGGAATATATAAATTAATTTGAATATATTTATTTGGGCAGCTTTTATCTGATTCTTGTGGTTCATTTCTGCTTTTCTCAGTTGGTTACTGTCAAAGATATATCTGTTCTGCACTTTTTTGATCCTTTTTATTTATATCTTATGTTTTTTAGGGATCTTGGACAACAGCCACACACCACTTACCTACACCACTGTCAACAACAAAATACTTCCATTAAAGTTAATTTACCCCCTAAAAATGGGGATACAAATTTATCTACTTATATAGTTCAATTATGCCACATAGTACATAGTGATCACACCCAAGTCTTTTTGGACATTTCGTTTTCAATTAATATTAAGAATTTTAATATAAAGTTGTTAATCTTTAATTTATTTAGTTAATATAAATGCTTAAGAATTTTAATATAAAGTTAGCTAAATGTTTTTTGTCCCAAAAAAATATATATATAATTAATTTACAGTTATAATTTATTTAACTGGTAGTGCAACACAACTTGACTTGGCTATGGGTTCATTCCCTACCAAGTTATGGTACATAGTACATAGCCAAATCAATGTTCCAGTGTTGATTCTCCCTTCATGTTCAATTGACTCGAAACAAAAATTAAATAAACTAAACATTATGAGCTAGCTAGATCTAACTAAAGATTCCAGATCCCAACCCTTAGATTAATGCCTCTATTCCCTCTTTCTCTGTCTCTCTAACTAATAAAATATATGATTGAATTTTAAAAACCTTAAAGAATTGTTGAAATATAGAATACGTGTATGTTCTTAAAGATGCATTCTTCCATATGCCGGAAAGGTTCATCCAGTGTTTGCTGACACAGTTCCAGTGGAAATAATTATACACACTTAATAATAAGTTTTTTGTCAGAAGAGATACTGTTGAGTCTAAACGTAGAGTAGTTTGTTGATGGAAAAAGGATCATGTAAGTTTAAGAGAATGAAAATTGATTAAATAAGTTGAGCTCAATTAGACGACTTTATAAGATAATTAGAGATGAACTTGGAAATGCAATGATGATAATATGATATGTATTCCTGAGGACGAGATTAAACTTGTTAACAAGTTGAATACAAGAAGTTCTATAATACAATTATACTATAGTGTGAGCCAGGCGTTACCATATCACAGCCACAATTCCCCATACTTTTATTGAGTCTACCAACACCTAAAAGGCACACAATAAAAGATTTTGTTTGTTATCTCCTATTTCTAGGTTTTATTTAGTTGATATCTTTTCCTTATCGGTTGTTATCTTTTTCATATATTTTCTTAGCTTTGTATTTAAGCCCCCCAATTGTTTCAATGAATTCAAGTTTTTGGAGTAATCAATTTCTTTATGGTATCAGAGTGGGTCATATAGATCCCGCAAATACCCTAGGCTACCGCCGGAACCATGGTAGGCAAAGATAGCAAGAACGACAAGGATGATGATCCTCGTGTAGATACCAACACTCCATACTATTTACATGCATCTGAATACCAGAGACAGATGCGTGTAAACGACGTTCTTACTGATGGAAACTAATGGGATTGGTTGCAGGAGATGAAGAATTTCTTGTATGCAAAGAACCAAATCGGTTTTATGGATGGAACAATCAAGGCACCAGAAGAAGGCTCACCGGACTTCATGAAGTGGATGTGTTGTGATGCTATGATCAAAGGATGGCTCACCACCGCCATGGAGAAAACGATCAAATTGAGTGTCAGTTACGCAAATACTTCTGCAGAAATATGGGCCGACTTGGAAGAAAGATTTGGGAAAGAAAGTGCACCTTGTGCATATGAGTTAAGACAGACTCTCTCTACAACGCAGGAAGATGGAAGCTCTGTTTCATCCTACTATACCAAGATGCATCGTATATGGGATAAAATTCAGTCTGTTTCTCCAACCCCAAGGTGTACATGTGGCAAGTGCACGTGTGATTTAGGGAAAAGGCTGAGCAAGGCAAAAGAAAAGGAAAGATTATACGAGTTTCTTATGGGACTTGACACTGTTTTTTTACCATAAAACTCAAATTCTTGCATCCAAACCCACTCCTACTCTTGGTATTGCATTTCATCTTGTTTTTGAAGATGAACAACAAAGAGCAATCTTAGCAACGAAGAAACCAATACAAGAGGGTGCAGCATTCCAAACCTTCGCACAAAGCATGAGAGAAACGACGATTGAGCCTAATGTTCAATGAATGAAAGGTGCAACAATGGACGAGCATTGAAGTTTATATGGTAAGAATGGTCATAATAAGGATGGGTGTTTCAAGAAGATTGGCTACCCAGAATGGTGGCTAGGTAAAGGCAAGAAGGAGAAGGGAAAATACAAGGCAACCTTGGCAGATACGGAATCAAGCCCTATACCAGGTCTCACAAGTGAACAGTACCAGAAGCTTGTTAAACACTTTAACAAGGAAGATAAAAATAAGGTGGCTAACATGGTAGGGAAAATTGTACCATTGTACTTGGATTTTTGATACAGGTGCAACGGAGCACATGACGGGGGATTATGATCTTCTAGAGGGGGATATATATGATGATGGCGAGCCACCGGTCATCATACCCAATGACAATTACATTTCAGTAGAAGGAAAAGGAAATTTTGTTTTACCTAATGGACTCAAGCTTGCCAAAGTTTTATACATTCAAAAGTTTAATTGCAATTTATTATCCGTTAGTCGAATGACAAAGGATCTAAATTGTTATATAACATTTTTCCGGATTTCTTTATTGCAAAGGATTTGGAGATGATGAGCTTGATTGGAGCGGGGCAATGTGATAATGGTCTATATTGGATCGAAATGTTAACGAGAAAGGCAATGAAGGTCACACCAGATGCATCTATTTTGCACAAAAGGCTAGGACATGCTTCTGAATCAAAATTATATCAATTAGATTTTTTAGCTAGTTTTTCTTTCAAGTTGAAAAACAAAGTGTGTGACTCATGTGTAAAGGCAAAACATACTCACTTACCCTTTTATGATAGCTCTATTAAAACAAGTGATTGCTTTGATCTGTTGCATTGTGATATTTAGGGATGTTTTCGAACCCCTTCATTATCTGGAGCTCATTATTTTCTCACCATTGTAGATGATTTTAGTAGGGATATTTGGATATTTCTCATTAGACATAAGCATAAAGAAAGTAAATGCTTGATGAATTTTTGCAACATGGTCTAAAATCAGTTTGGAAAGAATGGTAAGAGAATAAGGAGTGATAATGGTGGTTAATTCACATCAGGTGCTATGATTGAATTTTATGCTCAACAAGGGATACTGCTTGAAATATTTTGCCCTCACACACCACAACAGAACGATTTGGTCAAGAGAAAGCATCATCACTTACTTGAAACTGCTAGAGCACTGAAGTTTGAAGCCAATTTGCCTAATAAACTATGGGGAGAATGTGTGATGACAGCTGCTTATATAATTAGCAGATTTCCCTCCAAGGTAATAGGCTTGGAGACGCCTTTTGAGGTATAATTTGGCAATAAACCGGAATATGCACACATGAGAGTATTTGGATGTCTTGCTTATGTAAGGAACACAGAAAGGAAAGGATATAAGTTTGAAGTGAGGGGGAGACCTAGCGTTTTCTTAGGCTATCCACAAGGACAAAAAGTGTACAAGGTGTTTGACATCAACGATAGCAAAGTGATTACGACTAAAGACGTAAGGTTTGTTGAAGAGGTTTATCGTTTTTCGAAAGCTCAAACACAGAGTTGAAAGCCATAATAAAAATGAAAGCATGTTTAATGAGTTCTTTGATGAAGATGCGGATGTCAAAGCCCATGCACAATCAAAGCTCCTCCAAGGTATACTCTATCGCTAATCATATTTCATATGAAAATTTTTCTAATGAACAAAAAATCTTTTCTAGCAACCATCAGTGCAAGCGATGAGCCTAAGTGTTTTAAACAGGCTGTGAAATATGAGCGATGGAAAGAATCAATGAAAAATGAAATAAAGGCTCTAGAAGAAAATAAGACATGCGTACTTGAAGAACTACTGATATTTTGTAACTACACCTACTAGTTTTACCAACTATCTAACTAACTATTACGGCATAAGGCAGTGGGCCTATTCGCAAATAATATAGCACAGATAGTCGGGTATCGAACTCAGGGAACGGATTTAATTTACTAACCTAACTACTAATAGATTAATCTAAAAACAAGCAAAAGTCAAAAAGGGTTTTATCTGATTTTTCAAGTTCAGACAAACTTAAACACTTAACAAATACAGTTTTTATCAATATACTAAAAACACTTTCGTTTAGTTCGAATCCACTTCTCCTCTATGGTTGGTTACTAATTATGGATTATTAAAGTTGGTTACCAATTAGTATATAATTAGCAATTCAAGTCTAAATTAATAATATTTTTACCAATTCATGAACTAGCTTGTATGGTCATACACAAGCAAAACACAGAATTAGCTATTGGGTTATGTAAGATTTATCTGAGCAAAACACAATTATTGTCACAATTTATGTTCTCCAGCACAGCTAAAATTGCTACTTTTATTACTTATCTAAGATTTGGTCGATCCTAGCTCTAGTAATTTAACGGTCACTAAATCACTAGGTAATCAAATTCATGTAATTTAATGGTCAATAAATTACACTTAACTTGAATTTAAGCAACAAAATCACAACTTTAACATGCTAGGTAATGATAATCAAACACAAGAACAAAACCAACTATTAAAATCCAAAAATTAATAAACTAAACCATAGAGTTAAAGTATCATCCAGCTAAATGAAAGCAAATAAGTTCAGCTGCTCATGGCTAGTTTTT